CGAAATGTGACCCCAATTCGCAAATCCTTCACTCCTTTAGGGATACCTTTGAAAGCATTTGACAAAAGTTTCCCTTTTATGACACTATTCTTAGTAGAGATTAAAAGCAATTATAACTTGAAATGGAGTTAAGTCTCACCACTTATGAGATCTCCTGAACTAATTTTATGACGAAAACAATATTATGAATGAATGCAATATAGACTTAATGGAAATTAAAATAACAATTATTTTCAAACAAGAATAACAATCAATTTTAAAATGATTTAAGCATTATATTGATAACAAATGGCTATACAGTATAACAATTGATAATAAATAGAAACTAGTAATATCTTAAATCAAACACTCCGTTCAGTTCACACATCACTGAAATATACATAGAAAATGAGACCAGAGAGAGAGAGAGAGAGAGAGAGAGAGGTCTTTGTTAAAAAAATTTATTCAGATGTGCATAAAATTTTAAATATTTTAAGAAAAATTCATATAAAATGAATGAAAAAGAAGTACTATATTCTGGAAAATGAGAACAACTTAAGCTTATCTCATAAGTTATGATCAAAATAAAAAAGATTCAAAGAATATATTGAAAGCACTTTATAACTTATGATATAAGGATTGGTTGAATACTGTATAAGCAGTGTCTGACTGTCCATAGCATTAAAGTTATAGCAATTAAGGAATTTTAACTTTAACTTTAAACTAAACTTTGATATGAATGAGATTTACATTCACAACGACTATAATTGCAGATTATTTTATGTTTCATTTAAAGAGTATGTCGTAAATGTTGTTCAAAACACATTATATATTCATGTCATGAAATGTTTTCACTTTTTTATTACAAGAAATAGTATTTCGTTTATTAAATGAAAAATAAAATAATAATTTGAAATCAAATTAAACCAAAAATAGTTAGATTTAAGAAGCGATTTAAACATTGAAATATTCTTTTAACTTATATTTTTATAAAAATTCTTTCATTCAATGACTTGTTTTTACTTATTTTTTTGGGTTTCTAACCATTTTTTGTTTATTGAAGAACTGATAAGTGTTTGAAAAGTTAGTGAAGAATAAAAATATTTCTAATACTTTTGAATCCGTTTGTAATATCCAAGTATGAAATGACATGAACTCAACCATCAGATAAACTTTGGGTCAAGAATTTCAGTAAACTATTGATTTGACTAATATTTTTGGTCTTTTCAATAATAATTTACAAACATTTGGTATTACTGAGGATTATCATTGAATACATTTGTTCAGGTGAATTTTAACTATAAATTGCTGCGACTGTAGATTCAAAGTGTTTTGAGTGCAGATGCAAAGTATCAAAGAAACTATTTTTTGATTGAAAAAATAGGCAATCATTTGTAAATTGTTTTAAACATTCACTCAATTCTGTCTCAACTCTCGAAATGCATTAAAATGTTTGAATTGAAATTGATTTAAAATTTTCACGTTTTGATGACTTTAAGGATCAATAATACAATAAAATTGATTCAAATATTTGGCATCAATTGTGGAAATACTCTCACAAATGATGGATGCGTTGGAAAGTTTGAAATATTGTCTCAATTATATCTGAGCCATAATTTGAGGTAAATCTGGCTTCAAGTATGTGTTGAGTTGTTATAAGTTATGGTATTTCCATATATTTTCAATTCAAACAACTGTTTAATAAAAATATTTCTAATACTTTTGAATCCGTTTGTAATATCCAAGTATGAAATGACATGAACTCAACCATCAGATAAACTTTGGGTCAAGAATTTCAGTAAACTATTGATTTGACTAATATTTTTGGTTTTTTCAATAATAATTTACAAACATTTGGTATTACTGACTTGTGAGGATTATCATTGAATACATTTGTTCAGGTGAATTTTAACTATAAATTGCTGCGACTGTAGATTCAAAGTGTTTTGAGTGCAGATGCAAAGTATCAAAGATACTATTTTTTGATTGAAAAAATAGGCAATAATTTGTAAATTGTTTTAAACATTCACTCAATTCTGTCTCAACTCTCGAAATGCATTAAAATATTTGAATTGAAATTGATTTTAAGTTTTCACGTTTTGATGACTTTAAGGATCAATAATACAATAAAATTGATTCAAATATTTGGCATCAATTGTGGAAATTGTGGAAAGTTTGAAATATTGTCTCAATTATATCTGAGCCATAATTTGAGGTAAATCTGGCTTCAAGTATGTGTTGAGTTGTTATAAGTTATGGTATTTCCATATATTTTCAATTCAAACAACTGTTTAGCAAAACATTAAATGTTGATTCAAATGAGTGAATATATCGTAAGAATTAGTGTAGATTTTCTGAATGAATGTTAGAAATTGAGATAAATTTAGACCAAAATTCACGATTTGGACGATAAATGAATGACAGCCCAACCAATGAATAAATATTTACGTTTTGCGCAATTATTTCAAAGCAAACAATTTAAGGCAAAAACTGACGCAAAGAAAACTACTTATAATTGTATATTGAGTTCCAGTCATAGACTTATTGTATAACACAATACTCTCTTATTAACAGATTTATTCAAAATATTTTAATATTTATATTAATATTCAAATGAATACAAAACCGGAGGAAATAAAATCTAGAGATTTATTCTTTTGTTAGTTTTAACAGCAATTCTGACACTTATTTCTTTCACTCAAATGATTGCTGCGATTAATATAGGAAAACACTATTGAAATGTAACACAAAAAAACTTTGACATAATTGTGACGTGAATTCAAAAATTGTGAATAAAGTCTATAAAAAGTATGAGATTTAGTGATTCAAGCTTTTTGTGTTAATACTATAATAGCAATAAATTGTATGAAATATGAATCGACGCACGGATGACATACTTTGATTAGAGGAACCCCTCACTTGTATTGAGTACTCAAATGTTTTTCAGACTTTCAAAGTCTACACAACTTTTTGCAAACAATTATTGTTTGGAAGCGAAAGCAAAAAAGCCTTAAATTGTTGGTTGCGTTCAAATGATTGCGACGATCGATGCAATCATCCAATGATTTAAAGTATTTTGAGATCGTTTTTGTGGTTAAGTTCACGTATTGTTTGCAATTCAATAATCTTTGACAGAAAACGCTCTTAAAATCATATAAAAAGTATTTCAGAGATGACTATCATTTCTAAACATTGCTATTCAATGAAAGAAATATAATTACAGTATTATTGGTACAAAAAAATCTTTCAATTTTAGTGTTATTGCACTTCAGGACTGTTTGCTGTCGTATGAAAAGACCACTGAAAAGCATTTTTATGACTCCAATAAACACTAATTTTTAGGGAATGTTCACAAATGAAAGAATTGTAGATCTCTTCAAACAAACCATTCGTTTATCTCATGTTATCTAAAGAGACGACAAAACAGAAAATAACTGAAAAAATATCAAAAGAATTCTCATAAATGTTTTGAGATTAACGCAAACAACACAACAATTTTTGAAATTAATATACAGGTAAATATAATACGATTATTTTTATTTTATTTTTCAATAAGTTATCAATGAAAATTTATTTTTATGATTTAAAATACATTGATTTGTTATTGTTTATTTGGCAAATAATTTAAGTTACTGTAATATCAATTGAATAAACAATTCAAATGAATGAATGACTTATTAATTTTATTTCAATCTTTTTTTCAAATAACATTTCATTACAATTGAAGCACTGATTTATAAAATACAATCTTTTTTACAGAAAATGTTATTTTTGAGACACTATTTATTTAAATATTTATATTTATTTGTTTAGAAAAATTCATAATTTATATAAATTCTTATATTTATTACTTTTCATTATTATTTGTTCAAAAAACAAAGTTATTATTGTTTTCTTATCAAAACATTATTTAAACAAAGAGTGCATTAAATTAAATGATAAAAATTAAATACAATTTTCATGAAATAATTTAATATTTATTTAACATATGAAAAAAGTTAATTAAAACCAAAAATGAGTTAATTTATTGTTTTATTGGCACAAATACCTCTTCATAATTAATAACTGTTATTAAATTAAATAATTCTATTAATACTTAAATATAGTTTTCTGTTCAATTAAATAAAGTTTATCTTACAATCAATTAAAAACAATACTTATATATAAAAAGTGCAAAAAGATATAACAATTTTTCTTGAGTTTAAATTTCATTTGATTTGAAAAAGAAAATTAAAATCTGAGAATTATATGAAATAATTTTCTGATGAAAAATAGCAATGATTTGTGAAAATACTGTTAATATATCATTTGAAAGGGAAGCAAATTTAAATTCAAGAAAATTGAATGTCTTTTTAAATGGTTGAGTGTTTTGGAGAAATATTATTCATAGCAATAATATGGAGAAAAAGCTCACAAATTGGAAAATTGTTTTCAAAACATTTTTAAAAATTGATGAGTTTTTGTTGAGTCGATTCGTTGACCTTTTAATTATAGATTACATATTTAATCGTTAATTTAATCGTTTAGAAAATCACTTGAAATCTTATTTTTCTAAATAAAGAATAATAAGACTTAAGTCAAAACTGAGTTCGAGTTTCAGTTGTGTATAGCGTTCAACAAAAGTCACTTCAATTTCAATACAATTGTAAAGTTTTGTACATTTAATGATTTGATTAGCAAAAGCTTAAACAAAATGCTTGAATCATTTGAGCTGACAGTTGATTGGCTTTCAAGACAAACACAGAAATGTTTTTCAATATTTATAAATTAAAACAGAAATCTATAGCTAATGTTTAAATAAATGTAAAATTATTTAAACAATTTTTCACATGATTTTTGCTTTAAATTCATAACGAATTCAAAGCGGGGATAAAGATATTGTCGGATCAATTGATTTATCAATTTTTCAATTTTAAAATCTCAAATGCTTTCAAACAAATGGTTTAAAATAACTTAAAAGCGCCTCAAAATAAACTCAAACAAAACTTTGAGAAATTTTTTAAAAATCTCAAAAAAATATAGGGAATAGTATTTAAACGAAGAATTCTTTCTATTATTTATAAAATAATGAGATAATTGTCTAAAGTTTTGCTTATCTTTAGGCTTAGAATACATTTGAAGTAATTTTCATAATAATATTAATACAATTCATACAAATCAAGTAATGTTGACGTAATAGCGAAAGGAATTTCGTTTTAGTCTCTCTTTTATCACATTTCAAAACTTGTTTCCAAAACCAATGTTTGGAGACGTTTCTGATCAACACATCAGAACATCACATATCAGAACAACAGTCAAAACACCACTATTTTCACAGCAAAAGCTCATCCATTGTGTGATTGATTTGAATATTTCTCGCACTTTTGTCTCTCCGGTCGAAGTAATACATGAATTATGAAAATAATGACATTCAGAATATATTCCGTTGTTTTGGCGTTAAAACGATGAAATAAATACTCGAATGAAGTGGAAGTGAAAAAAGCACTACAAATATATTTATAATAAGTTATTATAAGTCTTATGATCACAGCCTTTGTCTCATATAAAAACACGAATAGTTCAGCAAAAGAGTCCACAAAATTAATGACAGCGAAAGTGTTGACTTGAATGAAGAGTCTTTCCCCATGAAAGGGGAGTTGGGTTTCGGAGACTTCGACCAATTCTTCGACTTTTGGTCGTTTGTCTCGCCTTCGACTGTGAAGTAAGGCGTGCGAGGAGTCGACGGATTGAAGTATATGTCGTCTGTCACCACATTATTCTGAACCAAATTGTAGTCATTGTCTTCTGCACCGTAACCACTGCCAGAACCGCTCCCCGAGCCGTCAGTTTCCATATCTGTGTCGGCTATCAAATGAAAAATACAAATATTTTAATAATAACTCAATGAAAACAAACAATTCAATTAAAAGTTAAATTATAAGAAATGGTAAACAATTGTAAAAACACTAACCATTGTCGACGAGATCTACATCCTGTCCATTATAGGCTTGGATTAATTTATTTGTTATTAATTTTAACGTCAAGTTTTGCTGATTTATGATCGCGTTATGTCTCGTTGTTTCTAAATTGAGTTCAGTTCCACTCTTTTGATGGCTTTCCGGCTTATTGTCGATTTCATAACTTAAATAATCAAACAAACGATAAGAAAATCTTTAAAAATACTGTACAATAATATTCAATCAACAGATTTGAGAGATTGGAGAGAAAACGTAAATAAAGATGAAAAGCAAAGGAATTAACGATTAGATGACTTACAAATCCGATCCGTTATAACAGCTTTTATTATCGGCAGCTATTAGCGTGGAGATGTGTTTATCAGTGCAAATGGTTTGTGGCAATTGTGCCCAAAAGCCTTTGGTTTTCTTAATCTTTTTCTTGATGTCTTGAATGAGTCGATCCAAACCGGTGACGGTCGCAGCGGTAGGGTTGGCAACATATGGCTGTTCTGCAAATTTGGGCGACTCTTCAAAGTGAACATCTCTAGTCTCACGCTTAGACTCGATGTGAGGTTTGCCACACGACTCGAATAGCTGTGCCATACGTGTCATACGTTTATATAAATAGAGGTAAAAAAGTTAACAAAAGCTCGTAATGGAAGGGCTGGAAAGGCTGGCAAACCTTATTAGAAACAGCGCCGCCGTTCTCCTGGAAATTCATAATGGCTTCAGATATCTTGATGTCAATGGGATCGACCACGGATTCAATGTTGAATGAAGTCTCCAAACGTGTGGCTAAGAGCATAAGAGCGTCGATATAGTTATTCCACTCTTTGTCGAGCTCTGAGTGAAAGGCCAGACAAGTGTTGACAACATTAAGGCAATAGTAGGCGCAGGGCTTGAATTCGTTTGATGTTTGGCATTGAGGGCAAAACGACATCTTCGTTAAGGCTTTGGTGCACTCAGGAGAGGTTGGGATCTATTTATTTGAATAACCAAAATACCAAACCATATATAAATAGAGTTAAGTATAAACTCAAACTCGAGTCTCGAGACATACAAGACATACGAAGAATACATACTTCGAGAATGTTTTTGATAACGTCTTTGCCGTTATTGAGCGCCTGTACGAAGGTTCGCGTCGCTATGAATGACCGCTTTATCTCTTGACTCAACTTCTTGGGCACATCTCCGAAGGGTTTCAGTTCATCCATGTGTTTGCTCACACAACTCAAGTACTTATCGTCGAACTTATACTGACTGTTCAACACCTGAAACATCTTTTGGTATAACCGATGGAAAAACATATCCATCGCATCGCTTAGGTCTACACTTCCACTGCTATAGTAGTCCTCCAAGTCTTTAAACATATCCGTGAATATCGACGAATGCCTCTCATATAAGAGTCCATAAGTTTGTAAAAACATTTGATGAAAGTCTCGTTTCGATGTCTTTAATAATTCCCGAAAGAATTCTAAACAAATTGTTTTTGAAAAAGGTTTCAAAAATGTTTTTCAAAATCAAATTCAGAAAATATTTTCGTGTAAAGAGTAGAAAGAAGACAAAGTGGTCTCAAAAATTCATGTCTCAAAAGAGCACATAAGCTGTGAATGAATTGGAATTCCTGAACAACTATTTGTCACGATTTCCGGTCAGTTGTGTCTAAAGGCATACATACTATGAATACATTAATGCAATGCTTTGTTAGAGTCTGTCAGATGTGAACACCGAAAAGGACATGAAAATAGTTTTAAATAGTTTTATAAATGAACACAATTTAAGCCATGATTCACATTAGTTTCTCATATAAATCGAGAAAGTAGTCCAAAAATGGTATAATAAAAGTAATGGTAGTAATGGTACGATAAAATACTGGATTCATTTGTACGGCTATAAGATGTGCTCAGAAGTAATGAGAAGTTCTTACAGTAATAGTAATAATAAGTTAAATAGTTATAATTCTTGGTTAAATATAAATAAATGGTTTAGAAATGCGATTATAATCAATGATTAATTGAGTGAAATGTGGAGAAAAAGTGGGAATTGAAGACATTTTGACAATAATTGAGGCATTTATTAGCCTCCGGGACATATAGAGTACGTGATTGTGTGGAGTCTGGGAGAGAGTGCGAGAGTGTGTGAGAGAGTGAGTGCGAGAGTGTGTGAGAGTGAGTGTAGGGCTTAGTCTTAGTGTGTGTTTCGGCACATCTATTGAGAGTTTGAGTTTGAGTGGAGTTTGAGTTGCATTCCAATGGTTCCAATGGTTGCATACCTGAGAATAGTTTGCTTTTATGAAACAACTTTAGAATAGAGTATTCACTGACTATTCAGTACTATATAGTTATAGAGAGGAATGCAAACAAATGTTCACTTAAATGCATTTGAATAGCGAATCACAGGCTAACAGTCTATCCCTAACAGCCCTATACTATAACCGCTTCCCTTCTTATGTCCAGAGGTTATGTTGTGTCCAAATGTTTGTTAAAACTTCAAACTAGAACTCCAGCCCCGGTATACACTAACTAAACATTGCGTTTATCGTAATATTCATCCAAATAATCAGTATTTACTGACAAACTCACTCCAAAAAATTGCAATCATTTGTTTCATTGTATTCATTCATCGATTCATTTTCCCTTTAAATAAATATGATTTTCACTTTAAATACCAACACCTTAAACATTATAACATTACTTAACACTCAAACAAATTTATGTGAGAAATACTGAACCATATAATGAAAACTAATTTATGGATTCAAAAGAACCAGATTTCATGCATTCATCCATTTTTAGTCATATTCATCCCAAATACAGACAAAACGAGATTTTGTTAATTATTTTGGATTTGGATTTAGGTCTTCAATAAAACAACAATTTTATTGCCGTATAGTTAACCATAATTTCATCCTAAAGTGATATTAAGGTAGAAATTAATAGCATTTGTAAGAAACAGATTTAAAATCTAATTTCAATTTAGGAGAAAATCAATCGTATTGTTATTTCTTTCAAACCATTTATTTTCAGTTAAAACTCAATTGCGATCCCTATTTAGCGGCAATTTCTAATCAATTCAGGCATTTACTTGAAAGTTATAGTCTTTTACTAATAATTTATGGTTAAGACATTGTTTTTCAAGTAATTCAGTACTAAATGAGTGTTTTTGTACAAACATTTCATTGTGAAGGCATTTGAGGCACAAAAGCAAACCATTTTGCCATCACTTTTGGCTATAATTCAATTGTTGGCAACAAATCTCTCTCTTAAGTGAAGCTAAATTCGGGTCAAAAGTTTGTATTCAATATTTTCGCTCAAATCACAAATACTTTTCCTCTAAACTAAGCCGAAAAGAGAAAGTATTTCACAGAAAGAGAAAGAAATTTTGAAAAACAAAAGCAAAACAATTTTCGGTTCGAGTTATGAATAAATAAATTATTGACAACTTTGACAACATTTTCTGGATGAGAGGTATTTGTGTTATAATTAGTTGTTTGGTATGTCTTAGTAAGAGTTAGTCTTCATGTGTTTTAAACAAAAAACGAGTTTTCATTTCATTTCACATAACAATCATTGCATTAAAAGGACTGCAGTTTGGACTTCAAATGTATACTAAATATAATAATATTAAGTTTTCGTTCAACTGTGTCTCAGATAACACTTCAGACATACAGTAAGTGTAAGACACCATTAATAGATATACTGTTCAGTATATTATTATTATATCACAAATTATAGATAAATATTTGAGTCTTTTGTTATAATTTTGATTACTGTTAACAACTTTTTATGTAATACTACTTCCCTTTCGAGCCATACATTCAATCACTAATCTCTTTATTATTCATATTCTCATACATTATTGATATAAAACTTATAAAACTTTTTTCTTACGTTATTATATGAAATATTTTATTATTATATCAATTCTTTCAGTTTATTCAAGACTAATAAAAATATATTCATTTTCATTGTCTTTAATTGCCATTCAATCTCCCATTTAATTCACACACAGACTAACAGTTTTATACATAATTTACATAACTTTGTAATTAAAATCAAAATTCGTATCCATTAAACACCAGATTGAATGCGAAAATCATTTTTAGCGTCAAATAAAAAAGCTTTGAATTGAATGAAAGAAAGTCATTAAATAATAATTGAATGCAAATCAGAGACACCAGTGAATTGGCTGAGAGGCCAGGGATGGGGACAGGGATGTGATGTGAGACCACTTTAAAGCAAGACTTAATTGAATGATACGTTTAGAGGGCGTTGTCTTACATGGGATTCAATTAAAGGTAGGAATCAAGTGATAGTGTATTGTCTGACACTTACCATCAAATTTGGTGGTCTTTTGCGATAACATGGTCTTCAGCTCAGAGATGGTCTGTCGTTGAGTCAAATCAAACTGAGTCTTCATGTCTTGGTTGGTGTCCAACACTTTGTGATCAATTGGTATCGCATTTGAAACAATCATTTGTTGACAAAACACTGATAACCCGATGGTTAGCACAATGTAAACCATTTTTGTCTTAGTTTTGGCCATTGATTCAATCAATTCAATTGACAGCGATTTCAATGAGTAGTCGTCTAAGAGGTGAGGGATGTTGTTGTGGTCACATACTATCCATGGATGCGATCATTCATTCAATTGTAATCAAAGTTGTGATGAAATCAATGTAACTATGAATTCATTTCACATGATATTCAATGCAATGTTTGGTATGAGTTGTGAGCACTGGTTGTGAGCACTGCTTACTCGCCACTCATCCATCCATTCACTGAATCACTGATTCACTCAACAAAACATTCAATGAGTGCTCACAATAAGCATACCTTCATGAATACCACACACCACTGCGCCGACTCTCACCACTACTATACCACACATGCCGTACACACAGTCACTCACTATACACACAATCGCATAGAGTTTTCACACCATTCATACCATACCATCGCTACTCTATCTGCTCTATCATTGCCATCCATTAACTCATCGCAAATCAGTTCAATTCAATCACTACAACAATCACTACATTTGAATAAATGCTTAAAATAGGCAAAAAGTATGTATTCTTCGTATGTCTTGTATGTCTCGAGACTCGAGTTTGAGTTTATACTTAACTCTATTTATATATGGTTTGGTATTTTGGTTATTCAAATAAATAGATCCCAACCTCTCCTGAGTGCACGAAAGCCTTAACGAAGATGTCGTTCTGCCCTCAATGCCAAACATCAAACGAATTCAAGCCCTGCGCCTACTATTGCCTTAATGTTGTCAACACTTGTCTGACCTTTCATGAAGAGCTCGACAAAGAGTGGAATAACTATATCGACGCTCTTCTACTCTTAGCCACACGTTTGGAGACTTCATTCAACATTGAATCAGTGGTCGATCCCATTGACATCAAGATATCTGAAGCCATTATGAATTTCCAGGAGAACGGCGGCGCTGTTTCTAATAAGGTTTGCCAGCCTTTACCAGCCCTTCCATTACGAGCTTTTGTTAACATTTTTTACCTCTATTTATATAAACGTATGACACGTATGGCACAGCTATTCGAGTCGTGTGGCAAACCTCACATCGAGTCTAAGCGTGAGACCAGAGATGTTAACTTTGAAGAGTCGCCCAAATTTGCAGAACAGCCATATGTTGCCAATCCTACCGCTGCGACCGTCACCGGTTTGGATCGACTCATTCAAGACATCAAGAAAAAGATTAAGAAAACCAAAGGCTTTTGGGCACAATTGCCACAAACCATTTGCACCGATAAACACATCTCCACACTAATAGCTGCCGATAATAAAAGCTGTTATAACGGATCGGATTTGTAAGTCATCTAATCGTTAATTCCTTTGCTTTTCATCTTTATTTACGTTTTCTCTCCAATCTCTCAAATCTGTTGATTGAATAAAACATTTTCTGGATGAGAGGTATTTGTGTTATAATTAGTTGTTTGGTATGTCTTAGTAAGAGTTAGTCTTCATGTGTTTTAAACAAAAAACGAGTTTTCATTTCATTTCACATAACAATCATTGCATCAAAAGGACTGCAGTTTGGACTTCAAATGTATACTAAATATAATAATATTAAGTTTTCGTTCAATTGTGTCTCAGATAACACTTCAGACATACAGTAAGTGTAAGACACCATTAATAGATATACCGTTCAGTATATTATTATTATATCACAAATTATAGATAAATATTTGAGTCTTTTGTTATAATTGTGATTACTGTTAACAACTTTTTATGTAATACTACTTCCCTTTCGAGCCATACATACATTTCAATCACTAATCTCTTTATTATTCATATTCTCATACATTATTGATATAAAACTTATAAAACTTTTCTTATATGAGATATTTTATTATTATATCAATTCTTTCAGTTTATTCAAAGACTAATAAAAATATATTCATTTTCATTGTCTTTAATTGCCAGTCAATCTCCCATTTAATTCACACACAGACTAACAGTTTTATACATAATTTACATAACTTTGTAATTAAAATCAAAACTCGTATCCATTAAACACCAGATTGAATGCGAAAATCATTTTTAGCGTCAAATAAAAAAGCTTTGAATTGAATGAAAGAAAGTCATTAAATAATAATTGAATGCAAATTAGAGACACCAGTGAATTGGCTGAGAGGCCAGGGATGGGGACAGGGATGTGATGCGAGACCACTTGAAAGCAAGACTTAATTGAATGATACGTTTAGAGGGCGTTGTCTTACATGGGATTCAATTAAAGGTAGGAATCAAGTGATAGTGTATTGTCTGACACTTACCATCAAATTTGGTGGTCTTTTGCGATAACATGGTCTTCAGCTCAGAGATGGTCTGTCGTTGAGTCAACTCAAACTGAGTCTTCATGTCTTGGTTGGTGTCCAACACTTTGTGATCAATTGGTATTGCATTTGAAACAATCATTTGTTGACAAAACACTGATAACCCGATGGTTAGCACAATATAAACCATTTTTGTCTTAGTTTTGGCCATTGATTACCAATCAATTCAGTTGACAGCGATTTCAATGAGTAGTCGTCTAAGAGGTGAGGGATGTTGTTGTGGTCACATACTATCCATGGATGCGATCATTCATTCAATTTAATCAAAGTTGTGATGAAATCAATGAAACTATGAATTCATTTCACATGATATTCAATGCAATGTTTGCTATGAGTTGTGAGCACTGGTTGTGAGCACTGCTTACGAGCCACTCATCCATCCATTCACTGAATCACTGATTCACTCAACAAAACATTCAATGAGTGCTCACAATAAGCATACCTTCACTCACACCACACACCACTGCGCCGACTCTCACCACTACTATACCACACATGCCGTACACACAGACACTCACTGCCAGTCACACAATACACACAATCGCATAGAGTTATCGTACCATTCATACCATTCATACCATACCATCGCTACTCTATCTGCTCTATCATTGCCATCCATTAACTCATCGCAAATCAGTTCAATTCAATCACTACAACAATCACTACATTTGAATAAATGCTTAAAATAGGCAAAACATATACTGCGGAGTCATCAATATAATCAGTATTGTATTCAATGATAAATATGTGGTTTACTGAGCGGATGTTAACCAACACTTTTGGTCACTTTCAATATTAAAATAAATGCTTAAAATAGGCAAAACATATACTGCGGAGTCATCAATATAATCAGTATTGTATTCAATGATAAATATGTGGTTTACTGAGCGGATGTTAACCAACACTTTTGGTCACTTTCAATATTAACATAACTTTTTGTTTTCTCACATTTACCTTTTTTGGCATTAAATTTTATTTTTTGGTTTCAATTTCAAAATTAAAATATTTTTTTTCGCAGACATGAGCTCAATAATTAAAGGATTGTAAATGAGTTCAAGAATTTATAGAAAGTTATTTAAAAATAGCACATTTTATTGTATTACAATTATTCATTATAATTATAAGTTGAAAGATGAATTAAAAGTTAAATTTTATTTCTAATTATATAAAACTTTTATTTCAATTTGTATAATAGAGAGGAAGTTTGTGTCTTAAATGAACTTTTTATAACTTTTGATCAAAGAATCTCTATTTTATAAAATATAAAATATGTGCAAATTGCATTGTACCTTGAATATTTACGTGAATTATTGAATTCATTTTATTTGGGAATTTTACCAAATAATAATAATAATAACTATTATTTATTGTTATTGTTATTATTGTCATTAGTTGTTATTAATGTTTTATAATACAGAATGATATGATATTAATTTCAAGTTTGTTTACTATTAAATTAACAAGTGTTATCCATGTCATTTTTAATTGTTTTGTACGAATAAAAAAATATTAAATGATTGAATTCTAAAGAAAATATAATTATTTTTGGTTAAAAAATGTTTTTTTGCAGCCAATGAACATAAATAAAAATTATACATTTGTATTTGTGTTACCAAGTTATCTATTGCTAAAAGTGGTTCAAATTGAGTGATGACTTTGAAATTTCCATTTGTACGCTAACTTATAAACAGACACTAAATTCATTCAAAAGCTAACTTGAATTCATTAATAACTGAGAGAATTAACCAAAAAAGTGTTGCTAAATTAATATTAATTTGTAATTTTAAAGTCAATTAAATACATTGCATTAGTGATAATATAAGTCTAAGGATTTTTAATAAATGTAAATAAAGTTTAAAAATGATAAATAATTCAACATTTTAAAAGTGAAGTGAAAAAAGTTGCGAATTATTTCCCTTTTAAACAATTTGTTTACGAAATTGTAAATATAACCTTAACTCGTAAGTAATAAATGATGATTACAATTATAACTATGATTTAGAAAATTAATTTTTAAATATCGAAATAGCTTATTTTATAAGAATTTATAATTTTTTCAACTAACTATTCTGTAGTTTAATTTGAATTTTACTGGAAAAGGTTTTCTGAGATATTTTATTGTTAATTCAATTCATGTCTTTTGATTGGTATACATATTAAGTCATAAGTATATCGTAATGTTATTAATTTTATTCCCCTTCAAAAATTAGTTTCTGTAAATAAATAAATAGAATAATTAAATCAATGTATGAATGGAGAGAGAGAGAGAGAGAGAGAGAGAGAGAGAGAGAGAATTTAAAAGGTATAAAATATGTGTACAGTTGAACAGTTGACTACAGGTACGGTAGAAGCAATAGAAATTTTAAGTGTAACTTATAATTAAAGGTAAATCAAACTATTGATTAAAAGGAAAACCTGTGTTGTTATGGCATATGTAATGATAGTTCAAATCCTTACATTGTTAGTACAATTCAACTTGTCATTCAGACATTCAGTTAACGGGTAAGCCTCAAGGAATTTACTGTTTGTTATAAAAGGAAAACCTGTGTTGTTATGGCATATGTAATGATAGTTCAAATCCTTACATTGTTAGTACAATTCAACTTGTCATTCAGACATTCAGTTAACGGGTAAGCCTCAAGGAATTTACTGTTTGTTTCCTTTATTTTAAATAACAATTATTTAAATATTAAAAATTTAATATATTATTTTAACTCACAGTACAGTACTGTACATGTATGGTTATTACTAATAACTTATTACAATAGTGTGTTTCACAAAACAATATCTAATATAAATAACAAATTATAATAATTATAGTGAATTGCAATCTAGAGATGCGTTCAATAATTGAAACCATATTTTATCAGTTTTTGTCAACTCATCGAATAGTGATTGACTTTCTATATAAATGAATATCTGAATATTAATGATGATAATAATAGTAATACTGTGGTGAAGTACAGTATAAACTTGATATAAGGTACTATAAGGATCGGTATATTAATATTAGATTTAAAAGTGTGCAAAATATAAATAAAATATTGTTTGTGTGGGTCATTGGCGGCCTCTTGAATGGTGAGAGTGTGAGAACCAGTTTATGGTTTAATAGTAAGAATTGCATTGAAATTCATGTAATATTAGTTTTCGTAAAAACTTTTGGCAAACTCCTCGCACAGACTGTTAGACATGAGATGTTCAGTGAAAAGAGTGAATTCCCGTCAGACAAGTGTTGGTTGAGTGCAGTGGATGGCAATTGGCGGCCAAATCACGAAACTATTTGATTCTAATAAAACATATACTCGTCTTAAGTTTATTCATTGTATTTCTGATAAGAATCAAAGCCAACACTATTAGTGTTTAACGAAAAATGCTTTTCTCTATAGTTATTAAAACTAAAAAATGTTTTGTTATATCGTGTAAAACAAACGCATTATTTGAGCAGTTTTTTCATAATTAGTATTACATGATATGTAGCCAAAGAAGAATATATGCTATGATATCAGTACTTGTGCTGTCATTCACCAGTTCAGGTGTTTAGACATACAGTACATTATGTTTGAAGTGAAACGAAACAAAACTAATTAATTACTGCTGAACCTAAAGTTTACCTAAAATTCTGTTCAACTCTATTGTGAAACCAATTACTGAGAACTTCATACAAAACAGAGGAGTCATTAAGCAATAAATATTGATAAACAATTCATCCATTGTTTAACTTATATTGTAATTGTATTGTATTTATTGAAATACTTTTCCTTCAAATTCTTTAAACATCTTTTGGAGAATGTCTGACGAAAAGCAAATGAATAGAAATCAGAGAATCGATAATAAAATCTCATTTCCATCTTCC